AATTATTAAAAGAATAATAAGATAAATGTATTTTCATATATATATATATATTATTTTTATAGATTAAAAATTATTGATGATATTAATCTAAAAATACAATCAAATGAAAAATTAAATTTAAATTTAAAAGATTAATTTGATATAAAAATTTAAGAAATAATCAATCTAAAAAAATTAAAATGAACAAGATAAATTAAATATTATTAAGACTATTGAAGATTAAAGTATTCAATATGATTATTATAAATAGAAAATAACAGAAATTACAGAAATTAATAAAAGATTAAATTAAAAGGAATCAGAATTACAAACAATCTAAAAACAATTTGATTAAATTAATCAAGAAAAGTTATAAAAAGAAAAATAATTAAAATTAGATTTAGAGAAAGTAAAATATAATTATAATACTTAATTAATAATAGATTTAACAATATCCAACAACATTATAATTTAGTGTTACTTATAAGGGTGTAAATTGTTAAGTAACTGAAGGTGGAAAAGTTGTTGAGTGTCCTGGTAGTAGTACATATTATTGTCTTTGTGAATAAGCAATTCCAAATACTGGGAAAATATTGTTTGCATTCTAAATTCTCAGTTTAACACCAAATATGTTAATTGGAATTGGATTTAGAGATATTATATAAAAAAATAATTATTAAAATGTAGGAGTTGGATATGGGTATAGGTATTAAATCATAATAGATCATATATGATACATTAAAACGGTTATACATACTCACATCATAATAAAGATGTAAATAATAAATAATTATCATATACATATACAACAAATGATATAATCATAATGGAAGTAAGTATTGAACATAAGTATATTAAATGGACCTAATAAAATAATCCATTAACAACAGTTGTAACTATCAATCAATTATTAGTAGATGGAAATAGATACATCCATATCATAAGAATTATATCCATGTTTATTGATTTATTAATCATCAGAAGTTAAAATATTGGGTAATATTCCAAATTGATAATGGAATGAAATATCATATATAAGTAATAATTATAAATTTAACATATATAATCTATTTTCAAATAATTCATTTTTTTAATTTATTTATTTATAACAATTTCTAACAATCTTTTCATTCTTCAAATACAAATTTTTTTTAATTTTATTAAATTGATTCATTCAAAAATGATATTTTCGATTCAATCAACATTCAATCACAAAGATTTGAAAAATAATTGGGATAATTTTTCTAAATCTTTTACAAATCTATTTGATTGATTCAAATTACTTTTGTTAATCAAAATAATCTTAAAAATTATTTATATTCAGAAAATACTTATTATTAAAAATAGATTTTTAGAAAAATACCCTACTTAAAATTATTTTAAAACAAGAAAAAGAATTCATCGTTATTGTTAAAGAATTTCATCCACAAACTGAATTTAATAAAGGCAATTCATCATTGCAATTTTTATCACACTTTAAAGCGTTGACAATTGTAAATAAAGAGGATTAAAATCAAAATGCTTTGAAATTTTAGTATATTAATATATTACAAGAATTAAATTTTTCAATATTATAAGAGGTTGCAAAATCTGTTTGAAATTTACTTAATCATTTGGGCATTTTTATAAATTTTAAAGGAATGAATTTATGGTTTTTTAGTGGTGAATATATCAGATTAATTATATATTTAACTTGAATTTAATCTATATCACTATTTAATCAAATTTGTTGTGTATTATTATTAAACTTAATTTCATTGATTTCCTTATCAGACTTAAATAAATAATGCCCCATAGTTTAGTTTAAGGTTACAAATAGTACAGTCAAATTCAAAATAGAGTTGCCAAATTCTTTCAAATTGATTATTTATTTGGATAACTATTTCAGGGTTGACTTCACTTCAGTTTATTTCGATCCAAAA